AAGATCAAGTCGGCGGAAAAAGGGAGCAATCGGCGCATCGCCAAGAAGTTCCACGAAGCAGTACCATGTCACCTAATGAGCCAGAGCACGACGATGTTGAAGGCTGGTGCAAGACGGCGATGAACTACACCAAAAGGCGAATCGCTGAGTTGATCAGTGATTTCGACTAACGACACTGAATGATCCATTGCAGCACAAATCTATGAAAACTATAAATACTAGTTAGAGTTGTAGTTTTAAGAGTGGAACAATTATTATAATTTTAATATAGAATAGTACTTTTTGATATTTTTGCTCTAAGTTTGAGAGGGTTTTGAAGACTTGAAGATCCAAAAGGTTTCATCTTCAAAATTTGGATTTGGGTCTCTTGGATTCTTCAATTTTGGCCAGTATCAAGACTTAAATCTTCATACCCAGTTGAATGCGAGCTCAATTTGGTATAAATTTATATCTCTTATACATGTGTGGCTAAAAACCCCAATTCTTGGGGTGTGATTTAGCGAATATGGGTTAAGATAATTGTTGGGTCTTGCTTGCTGATAGTTTAATCATAGTTTAATTGTGATTTTGTTTAGTAGTTGTGGATGAATTTAATGAATTTGTAGTTGCAAATACAAGTTTATTTATGTGTTTTCGGCTTGCTCGAGAGAGAGGTCGTAAAACTAAAACTACTAAATTGATGGCCGATGAAGTGGGTCGACATGAGGTTCAGCTCGAGATAGTGAATCCTAGTCTCATTCCCACGCACTCAGCTTGAGAGAGTGAGTAGGTTAAGGCGTAGGCTGGTCTTCATGCGGCAACTGGGTGTCCGAGAGGAATGCATTTGAAACGGGGTAAGTTTCTCAAGAGAGAGCTTATCCCCCTTAAAGTCAAGCCTAGGCACAATTATTCTATGAATCTTCTGTCGAAAGCATGTACCCAATTATCGAGAGAGCTTATCCCCCTTAAAGTTTAGCCTAGTCACAATTATTCTATGACTCTTTTATGGAAAGCATGTACCCAATAATCTAGCTTAACCCGTATTCCCGTCACATCCCAAGGATACCCTCTCATTAATTAGAAATCCTTGTTTACTTTGTTGTTTTTATTTACTAGTGGAAAAACCCCATTGTTAATTGACACTCTTGTGTCCCCCTTTAATTTACATTGTTTTTAATCTTTAATGTGTTTAGCTATGACTAGTTAGAGCTAAATTTTATTTTTCTATTAAATCTCAAAACCACTCTCTTGGGAACGATCCCAACCCTTGGTTGGGTTACTAAACTATTGTACGATCGTAGACACTTGCATCGAAAGTTGTGTCTTGATTACGCAAACATCAAAACCCAGATCAAATAACACATTAGCCATACGATCACAGACAAGAATAGTACATGTGATTACTACATCAGATGTCTCCGCCTCGGTCTTGCCCGAAAAGGCATAAAACTGGGTCCTTTCATCTTGACGGACGACTTCCTTGCCTGGTTACGCTGCTCCCCTGCCTACATTACCATTACCCTGACCTCCACGACCTCACTGATTTCCTCCTCTCCCACCCTGTGAACGTCCTCTACCATTATTACTGTTTCCCGCGGGTACAACTACTGTAGTCTGCTGCTGCCAGAATCCAACATGCGCGGTTGGGGACAATCTCTCCTCATGTTCCCAGTTTCCCCACAATTATAACAAGTACGATCAAAAGAAGGTCTGTCGCTGGCCGAAGACACGGCTCCCTGGCTATCCTGTATAAAATTATGTGGTGGGGTTCCCAAATAACTACATGTAGAAGCAGGCATGGCAGACTGAATTGGTCGAGCTGCAAGTGTCGGCCTACCTGAACCTCTGGAGTAAGATCCCTGAAAGTTACATATGCTCTTGGCTTTGTTAGCCAAAGCCTTAGCCTGCCCATCACGTCTAACTCTCTCTACTTTCTTCACAAAGTCGGTCACCTCATTGAAGCTTTTTCCTGCAGAAGTCATGTGAACAAACGATACCTAAAGTTCAGGGTTCAACCCTTTGACAAACAGACGAATCCTCTCCTCCTCAGTAGTTACCAATTGCATAACATATCTAGACAAGCCATGGAACTTAGCCTCATAAGCAGCTACAGCCATACCACCCCGCTCCAAATCCATGAACTCATACTTCTTGCGATCTCTCAAGATCCAGGGCACATACTTTTCCAAAAACAAGGCATGAAACTGTGTCCAAGTGATTGGGGGTAAAGCTGACGATTTGCATATTCCACATAAGCTCTCCACCACTGCTTAGCCTCACCTTGAAACTGGAAAGTCACAAACTCTACTCCATGCTGATGGACAATACCCAACTTACGTAGCCTCTCATAACAATCTAAGATGAACTCATAGGAGTTCTCACTCTCAGAACCATGGAACACATGCGACTTTAGTTTCAAAAACTTAGTCAGCATCTCATGCTCATTACCAGACATCACAGGACCCAACAAAGGACAGAAGAAGGTATCAGTACCTACAGTTCCACCCACCTTGGGGACAATAATAGAAATAGGGGTTGGCGGGAGTTTGAGTTGCTTGAGCTATGGGAAGAACTCCAGGACCAACGAATCCTTTCATGATAGACATAATCTGTTAAGCTAACACTGGGTCTAAGGGAGGAATACTTGTAGTTTCAGCATGTACCTCTTCCTCTTGTCCAACATCCTCCTTATTCTCAACCTCAACATTCTCCTGTATCTCTTCATAATGCACAGGAGGATCCTCATTTTTGGGCACATTCTCAACCGGAACTCCACCCCTAGCGGGTTCTACCCTTCCTCGGCCTCTACCCCCTATTTTCCTCTACTTCTGCCTCGACCGCGGCCTCTTGTTACGGACTTCTTAGCAAGCTCATTGACAGGAGCTACGGGTCTGACACCGTTAAAGTGAGTGTTAACCATCTGCGGACAGAAGAGTGAAGGAGATTAGATACCAATTGGAATCAAGTTATAGCACGAAAGGAGACAAGAGAAAACAGAGAGACTTCTTAAAGTCCTATAGCCTCTCGAAGAGAAGTATAGACGTCTCTGTACAGTTCCGCGAGACTCTACTAAACTCATTTTGGTACAGTGATATCAACGAACCTAGGGCCCTGTTACCAATTTTATCACGACCCAGACCGTCATGATTGGCACCCACACTAACCCTTCGGTGGGAGAACCATTACTACAACTCATCTACACAACTTAACAAAAACTAGAACATTTAAAGATACGGAAGCAGGTTTAAATATCTAAAGAAAATTGGAGTTCCCATAAACTCGGAAAATTATCAAAAACAAAACGACCAAACATTGCAGAAAACTACCCCTAGAACCTGAAAGTCAATGTAACAAAACATCTAAAGTGCAACAAGTCTAAGAAAAGGGTACAACCCAACCAAACATAAAAGTATCTAAACAATAGTCTAAGTCCGGATAGATGGACTAAACAAAATGAAGGACTTCATGGCAGCCTGAAAGAGCTGGCCCAGCCTTGAAATCCGATCTTGATCACTACTCTCCTAGCTGAGGTCTATCAGTATTTGCCTGAAGATTTCTTGTACTCAACAAAGAACGAGCAAGTGCAGTATCAGGACACAACCACCGTGTACTGGTAGGATCACGCGGCTATTCCAGCAAACGCAACATATATAAGCAGCCACAACAAGGTAAACATGACATGCACAGAATGTATACACAATTATCAATTCAAAAGTAATATACAAATTCACATTCTCAATAACAAGTAAATATGACAATTCAATGGTCCTCTCATGGAACCCATACCCAAACTGTTAGTGTATCGGAACGTGGTACCTGATCCCAATTAGTGTGCCGGACATGACACCCGATCCCATATATCTGTTGAAACGTGGCACCGGATCCAAGTTAGTGTGTTGGAACGTGACACCCGGTCCATTCAACATAACCACAATTACAATCACGCTCATATGTACATTCTCACAACCATATAATCAAGTGTCAAATCAAGGCATACATTTACTCATTCGTACTCATTTCATTAGGTTTGATCATCAAGGCTTCATTCACATGCATACATGCATTACAATGAAGTAATCACCAACATATATCACGCAAACAAGAAATCAAACCATCACCTACCTCAAAACCAAGCTTGAATCCCCTAAGGCACTTGAATCTTCCCTTTTCGGATTCTTTCCGCTTGTTCGTGGTCTAAAAATAAAAAATTAATACAAGGATCAATACATTAAGGTCTAATTACCCGGATTATAACTAACCCAATAACCCATGATCCGAAGGTGCAGCTAGGGCTTTTTCCCACCATCAAATTCAGTCCAAAACCCTCCCCCAATAATATTTAACCAAGAATCTACATTCTACGAATCAAAAAATGGATTATGAGAGTAAAATCCTTACTTTTTGCACCAAAAGCAGTGGAAAACTGTCAAGAAATCGCCCGTGGTCATCTCCTAGCTCTCAAGAACGAAACTTGCAGAAAATAACATTTTTGGGGTTTAATCTCGACTTAATTCGCAACTGAGCCAATACGGCGGACCCCATCCCACCACAGTGGCGCTGCCCTGGTGGCTTACACGGAGACAGAACCTCAGAATTTAAGTTCCAAGCCCCCATTTCAATATACACCTTCAATTCATGACATTCAAAAACAACTTGTTCACGCTAAGGTCAGTTTCGGGAGTTCTACTCGCCCGAATTTGATTCTGTAAAGTCGTACGGATTCTTTAACGTCTTAGCTATCCACTTATGTAATCAAATTCATTATTAAATCTCTCATTCATTACCAGATTTCCCTAGACTCGCATGACTCTTATTTCATCCAAATCTGGACTAGACTAGGAAATCCCAAGTTACTACAAAAAAAATTATGGCCCCAATTCTTTCCCCCTTGGCTTTTTTATAATGACGGGAATAAGTCGTTACATGCTACTTCCTAAATTTTAAAGAATATTCTATGTGAAACTGATTATTATATTCTGAGCTCTTTATTTATTTATTAGTAGAAGCCAAAAACTGATATGATGGGTGAACTAGAAAAGAGGGAGGTGAATTATCTTCCTGCTACCTCTTGTGAAATGACATCAAGAAAAAGCTTGACAATGTGTCTCTTGACTATGAGCAGGAGATTGAAACTACCAGGAGAGCTCCCCCATTGAAAAGAACTATGAATTTCCTGAAGGACAAGTTATTGCCATTGGTGTTGAGAGGTTCTATTGCTCAGAGGTCCTCTTCGAGTCATCTATGATTGGTATGGAAGTTGCAGGTATCCATGAGACTACCTACAACTCCATTCATTATCCTTAAGAAGTAGCTGGAAAAAAGAATGTAGAGAAGATTATCCATATAATAAAGTTATTCAACTAGTGAACGATCCTTGCCATGCAGTGATCGTGAATAAGACACTCAAGAGAAGAAAAGATGACACAAAGATGGTTAGCTACAAGGTGACTAACAAAAATTTCTTTTTAGGATGAAAATAGAATCTATCATGAAGAATTTAGAATGAATACATAGACCACAATGTGAAAAGGTAATAGAGTTTCATCTACAATGCTAAAAAATCTTTGATAGATGAAGGAGGCAGACAAAAACCTGAACATCTTTTTTCTTTCGCATAGTTCCAAGACAACTACATAGGGCAATGCTTGATATAAGGGTTTCAAATATACATTTCCAGGGTGTTTATCATATGATCAAGGAAATCAATATCTTCACTACCAATAGCATGAAGATTAAGGTTTTTTCTCTACCAGAGAGAAAGTACAATGTCTAGATTGGAGGATCCATGCTTGCATCACTTAGCACATTCCAGGAGGCAAATCTTTATCTTTTAAAATCTTCTCTTGCATATACTTTTGCAATTTTAAACTGCATTTTGAATTGTGTTGTTGCTAACTTAAATATGTTCTATGCTTAATCAGATGTGGATTTCGAAGGGCAACTATGACAAATCTGGTCCATCCATTGTTCACAGGAAATGCTTCTAAGGTGCTGCTGCTATTTTAACATCTATTCGTGAGTTTTTTTTTGTTTTTTTTTCTTCCCGCTAAAACTACTAGTATATGTACCCGCGCGTTGCGCGGATAATATTAAAGAAAGTAATTATGTTATACATCATGTGTTCAAATTTTTTAATGTAAATTAGTATATCAATGAGTGAAACCTATTAACGTATGCGTTATTATTTCATATTTATGAGATGATTTGCAAAGCAAGTTTTTCCGTACTTCTTGACACATCTTAAACACTTATAATTTATGAAAAAGGATCAAATATGATACAAATTTATCATAAAATTCTCAAGTTGCAAAGAATATACATCAACTTTAAAATCTAAAATTAATATTATAAAAATATTACATAAAAAAATTTAAGCATGATAGGAATTTAATTAAAAACATAGCATTTAAAAAATATTAAATTAAAAAATTTATATAATGAAAATAATAATAAAATATTTGTTGATCATTTTCTCAGCCTGTTTATCACTCCACTTAAATAACCTTAGTCATACATTTTCTTTTTACACAAAATTAAAACTAATAAATACGCTCAATCGATTTAGTAATTTAAAGTAAAATTTGAAATAATAAGGAGGCACTTGACTACTCAAAATCCTCAACTGAACTAACATTATCTCTTTTAATTTTATTTTATATTTTAATTTAATTTTTTTTAATTCAATGATAAATTATTTTTTGTGTGTAGTAAGTGATAGTTAAATTGTAGTGTTAAAACTTATTTTAAGACTACTAATTATAATTAATTATTAGTAGGTTGAGGAGATACTCAAATTGAAAGTCAAAGAGTTTATTGATTTAGTTGCCTATAATTCTTTCCTCTTAATATAATATACGCTATAAAAAAGGGAGGCATGAACGTGTTTGCTATAAAGGAGGAGCAAAATGGAGCAAATATTTAGGATCAGTCTGACAATATGATTTCAATTAAAATTTTGGTTATATTGTGCATGTTTGACGGTATTTTGAATTATTATAAATCAGTTTTTTATGTTATTTTTTTGTTTTAGATTTTTTTATGAAAAACATTTGATGGATAATTACTTTATATAGGAAAAAATAGATTGAAATTTAGCTTTATCTAGTATAGAGTTAGTTTACGATTCAAATTTTAAAAAATCAATGGTAACTTCCCATTCAAATTCAAAATTAAAAAAATTAATTATATATAATAAAATTTATCTTTATCTGTAAACTAATTTTAAAATACTTTATCTTTCAAATTTTTTTATATATTTTTATATGTAGAGAATAAAATAAAAATTTTGATGGAAAATTAGTTTATATAGGAAAATATAGATTAAAATTTGGCTTTATCTAGTATAGAGTTAGTTTTCGATTCAAATTTTAAAAAATCAATGGTAACTTCCCATTCAAATTCAAAATTAAAAAAATTAATTATATATAATAAAATTTATCTTTATCTGTAAACTAATTTTAAAATACTTTATCTTTCAAATTTTTTTATATATTTTTATATGTAGAGAATAAAATAAAAATTTTGATGGAAAATTAGTTTATATAGGAAAATATAGATTAAAATTTGGCTTTATCTAGTATAGAGTTAGTTTTCGATTCAAATTTTAAAAAATCAATGGTAACTTCCCATTCAAATTCAAAATTAAAAAAATTAATTATATATAATAAAATTTATCTTTATCTGTAAACTAATTTTAAAATACTTTATCTTTCAAATTTTTTTATATATTTTTATATGTAGAGAATAAAATAAAAATTTTGATGGAAAATTAGTTTATATAGGAAAATATAGATTAAAATTTGGCTTTATCTAGTATAGAGTTAGTTTTCGATTCAAATTTTAAAAAATCAATGGTAACTTCCCATTCAAATTCAAAATTAAAAAAATTAATTATATATAATAAAATTTATCTTTATCTGTAAACTAATTTTAAAATACTTTATCTTTCAAATTTTTTTATATATTTTTATATGTAGAGAATAAAATAAAAATTTTGATGGAAAATTAGTTTATATAGGAAAATATAGATTAAAATTTGGCTTTATCTAGTATAGAGTTAGTTTTCGATTCAAATTTTAAAAAATCAATGGTAACTTCCCATTCAAATTCAAAATTAAAAAAATTAATTATATATAATAAAATTTATCTTTATCTGTAAACTAATTTTAAAATACTTTATCTTTCAAATTTTTTTATATATTTTTATATGTAGAGAATAAAATAAAAATTTTGATGGAAAATTAGTTTATATAGGAAAATATAGATTAAAATTTGGCTTTATCTAGTATAGAGTTAGTTTTCGATTCAAATTTTAAAAAATCAATGGTAACTTCCCATTCAAATTCAAAATTTTAAAAATTAATTATATTTAGTAAAATTTATCTTTATTTGTACACTAATTTTAATAAACTTTATCTTTCATTCTTTTTTTATATTTTTATAGTTGCAATATAAAACTATACCAAAAAATAAGTATAAAAATTGGTTGACGTCCAAATTTGAATTTTTATCTTTGAATTTAAATAAATACTATATAAAGAACATAAAATTTACCAAAAAATAATAATAATAATTTTTGGGAAGTTTTCACATTTTTATTAATAAATAATAATAATAATTTTATTTATTACTGAAAATAATAAATAAATTCTTATTAATTATTAATATAAATTGAAAACTTCCCAAAAAAAAGAAGAAATAACATACTCTATAACCTCTCCTATTACACACACACATATATATATAGAGAGAGAGAAGATTTCATTTTTTTTCGTAAAAATTATTTTTGTGGTGCTGACACATAGGCGCTATCACATTTCCTATAATATAGATTATTATTATATTATTATTATTATTGTTATGTTATTATTTTTATTATTTAACAATTTATAAAGAATGATAATTAGCTGTGAAAAGTTGGTTTAAATATTTTATATAAAAAATGATAATTACCCACAAAATAGAGTATGTACGTATGTAAAATGTATATAACTTGAATATCTAGTTGAGGAAATTTGCAAGATGGACAAATAAAATTTAACACCTTTATAATAAAACTTCGTTGCACACTTGCACAACCCACATATCTTAAATTTCATTTGAAATCAATAAAAAAAATTATTAATATTGATTGTTTATAAATAAAAAATTGTGAATATTAAATTATAACTAATTATTAATTAATCTAATTATGTATTACTATTTGGATGAATGGCAAATGTTTCCATTATTTACAGTTTTCCGTTCTTTCCCTTTTAATGATTAATAATTAATAATATTATGCTTTTCCTTTTTACTTTTTACTGTAAAAAAT